ACTGGCGCGACACTGAGGGTTGCGATCCGTTGCCGGTCACGAAAAAAAAAAAAAAGAAAAAGTCAGCCCAGAATGCCACGTCCAGTGAAAGTACCCTTCAGAGAATGAGTGGGAAATAAAACATGTTTGGGTTAAAAAAAAAAGGGGGGGGGTAAGCTTCACCTGCAGATTTACACTAAAAGGGATACCGAAGTTACCAGAAGGAAAACTCAACCCTTTGGGAATGATTGAAAGCACCAGAAGTGGCACATATGAAAGACTGTTTTTTCTTCTTTAACTTTCCAAATAGACAAAAGACGTTAAAGCAAAAATAACGTAGCAGATTTAGAAATGGAGTGTGCGATGGCAACAGCACAAAGGCAGGTGCTGTGTACATGAGCCACGCTGCTGAGGGCTGCTTAAAGGGGAGGTATTGCGGTACTCATCTAAGCAGACCTATGGGCTAAAGATGAATATTGTGAATATCCCAGGAGAAATTAATGAGAAAATGAAAGAAATACAGCCTCGTGGGAAAAAAGAAGCTAGCAGAAGAAATAGAATGGAATACTGAAAAATAACTTGCACAACTAAAATGCAGGAAAAGGGAATAAGAGCAGATGGACAGGTAGAAAACAAATAGTGAAGGTATAGATTTAGCCCTAATTGTGTCAGCAATTATAGTGCATGCACAGACTAAAGTCTCCACTTACAAGGCAGAGATTTGTCTTACTGGATGAAAAAGCGAGAACCAGCTGTGTCTTCCTGCAGTGTACATGCTTTAAGTATGAAGACATGGTATGGTAAAGTGGAAAGGACAGAAAACATGCTGTGCAGATTGTTAGCATAAAATTAAATGTAAAAGGCAGAATGACAAAGCATTTAGAAAGTCATAGGGAAGGTCATCTCTGTGATCCTGGTATAGGGAAGGATTTCTTAAGACACAAAAAAGTACAGTCATGACTGATATAAAGTCAAGTGCATGCATGCAAATTTATGAATTTCTGTTCACCAAAAGATGTCACAAAGTACCTGAAAGTCCATGCTACCACCTGGGAGGAGGCATCTCAGCCCAGCAAAGGTTCATGTCCAAAAAGCACGAAGAACTCCTGTAAATGAGGTAAAAGAAAATAACTCTAAGGAAAAATGGGCAAAGAACATAGACAGGCAGTCTACAGAAGGAGAAGCACCAGTGACCAGCAAGCATGTGAAAAAGTGCCAGCCTTTTAAAAGTGGGACTGAGATGTTATTTTATAGTCATTGGATTACATAAAACATAAAGTCTTGAAAATACCTGGCTTTGGAAGACACTGGGCAGCCAGCACATTCATGCCCACTGGTGGGGTGGGGCTCGCAGGTCACCCTGGAGAGCAGTTTGTCCTGACCGGTAAATCCAAAAGTTTGTGTTGCCTAAAACCCAGCAATTCTCAGTATTGGGATATGCCCATGTTCAGCTCTGGGGTCTGCCAGTAATGTAAACAAGGGCACACAGTGCAGTATTCATTGTGCCTTGAACTAGCAAAAGTGTCAGAAACAACAGGTGTTCCTCAGCTAGGAATACATAAGCTGGAAATAATTTTACATCAGTTAAACGAGCGAGTGCTACCTGTTATCTACAAAGATAGAACTCAAAAGAACAATGTTGCACTAAGTACGAATTGCAGGATACAGTATGACAGACAATTTTTTAAAATGTACAACTGTCATTTATGGATACATATGTAGTGAACATATCAGGAGATGCAACAGAAGGATAAATGCTGAACTCAGGACAGTGACTACCCCTGAGCGGGGGAAGAAAGGAAGTGGGACAGGGGTGCTTTGTGGGGCGTTTCCTAAGATGGGTAGTGGGGTTGCAGGGTTACAGGGTCATGAACTTTTGCTTGTGTGCCTGAAGATTTTGGAAGTAGCCCCTGAATGAACCAGGCTATGACCTCTCCCTGCCTGCAGCCCCCGCCTTTGACCACCTTTACATCTTATTCCTGTGTGTTCCCTTGGCTGGAGGACCTCAGTCCCCTTCACTCCTGAGACTACCCCAAACCTCTCCTTGGCCGCTGCCCTCCCCTGCCTTGTGTCACAGGTCCCAGTGCAGTCTGCCTCGCTCACAAAGGGTCCCTCTCCTCACATGTATCTTTTTATCTGCCAGCCACAGATGTGCAGGTCTCAGTGTGTCTGTCACATATGGCTGTTTCTGCCCGTAAGACGTGTCGCAATCTTCCTGTATTTAGGGGATCATCAGACTGTACCTATTGTAATGATTGAGGATACTTGAAAATAAGATAAACGTTTAAGGGCTGGCCCGGTGGCGCACTGCTACAGTGTGCTGCTGTGCTCCCGCCGAGGGTTCAGATCCCACATACAGACCGGCCGCTCACTGGCTGAGCGAGGTGCGGACGCAACACCGAGGGTTGCGATCCCATTGCCGGTCCCGGTCCGGTATGGGCGTGACACTGAGGGTTGCAATCCGTTGCCGGTCACGAAAAAAGACAAAAAGGAAAAAAAAAAAAAAGATAAACGTTTAAACTAGCCACTATACATTTTGTATTTATAATAAAATTACAATTCTGAACACCAGTAATGTGGAAAGTGGGTGTGTGGGCTTTTCTAAGGTGGGCATACTCATTAGCATCAGTCCGATTAGAAATACATTAGTCCTACTTAGGACTGGACACAGACTTCATGAATATGACCCCAAAAGCACTGGCAGCCAAAGGAAAAATAAACAAATGGGATTATATCAAACTAAAGAGCTTCTGCACAGCAAAAGAAACACCAGAGTTAAAAGACAAGCAACAGAGTGGGAGAAAATATTTGAAAAATATACATCTCACAAAGGATTAATATCAAGAATATATAAGGAACTCAAACAACTTTACAAGAAAAAAACAAGCAACCCAATTTAAAAATGGGCCAAAGAGCTAAGCAGGCATTTCTCTAAGGAAGATATA